TTGTAGTTGGACACAATACCTTTATTTTACTTTTTATTTTTATGTGGTGCTGAAGATCAAACCCAGGTCCTTGCACGTGCTAGACAAGAGCTCTACACTGAGCCACAACCCCAGCCTCCATCCAGGCGTCAGTTTTGATGAAGACAAGCGCTAGAATTACAGGAGCTGTATTCAGGGAGCCTTGTCTGTGATTCATGGGAAGACTATTTTAGAAGAGGAATATAGAAAGACAGTAAAACAAACCACACAACTTTGTTTTGCTTTTACTTTTCAGTCTTTGAGGTTTTTTAAAAAATTATAATTGCTCCTGCTGGATCTTTTCTCTAGAGCAGTTTGTCTATGCCTGGTAGAGTATAAGGACTTTGAAAGATTATTGTTAGAAGATTTACAGGGAATTGAAAACTTTTGAAGCTAATACAATTTTTGAGTAAACCCTCAACATATAATAAGCTCCTTTTCAAGGAGTTCCCCATCTCTGTGATCCAAGGAGGAAACCCTTCAAAAGGATTATGATAGATTGGGGAAATGAGTAGCAGATATTAGAACATAATATCAGAAGTTGACCTACTGTGAACTTTTTATTAATCTCTCCATTTTCCCACGAAAGCTAAGCAGATGATGAAGAAATCAGATTATAAGAATTTAGAGATTATTGTCACGAATGGCTATGATAAAGACAGCTTTGTTCAGGAGATACAGAATGACATTCATGCCAACTCTTCTCCAAATGACCAAAGTGCTGATGATGTAAAACCTGTAGATAAAAACTTGGAGCAAACTGAAAAAGTTGCTGCCTGCATTCACCAAGGTATTGTTCCCAAATACTTTTTTGTCTAACATTTATCCTATAATTAAAATTTTCTTTTAATAATTTTAATATATTTAGAAATAGTTTCAAATTTTAAAATATTTCTTAATATCTTTTAGGGTTGATTAATGTTACAAGGTTTTATAGCTTTGAAAGACAGAGAAGTAGAGCCAGAAATTTTATATTTGTATTGAAACTTTTTTTTATGCTAACCATATGATATTTCAGAATATATTTTAAACTAAAACTTCCAAATTTTTATTTTTTTCCCCGATTATTTCTCTTAACCTCTGATTATATGGTGCCTTTGTTCTGAAGTCAATAAGTTTAATTTATAGTTTTTTCATGTTCTAGGACTCTCAGGGTGAGCCTGTATATGCATATGGTGAATTATTAACAGTGGTGCAGTTTAGTCCAGAAACCAAGAAATGTCATTTCATAGCGTAACAACCAAACTTGCATAGTTGCATCTCTCATTTAGGCCTTATAGGCTGACTTCATAGATTTTCTTTTCTTTTTAGTACTAGGGCTTGAACTCAGGAGTATTTTACCATGAATAATATCCCCGGTCCTTTTTAAATTTTTTTTTTTTTTTTTTTTTTCATTTTGAGATTAGGGTCTGCTCAGTTGCTTAGGATCTCACTAAGTTTCTGAGGCTGGCCTCAAACTTGTGATCCTCCTGCCCCTGCCTCCCAGTTCACTGGAATTATAGGCATGTGCCACTGAGCTTGGTGGTTATTAGGTTTTCTAAGGTTTCAACAGGACAGTGTTTTCATAGAATTCAGTGGTAAAATACTTTGTAATCTTTTCAAATAAGAACTATTAACTAACCCCAGTGCTGTGGCCCACACCTGTAATCCCATTTGCTCAGGAGGTTGAAGCAGGATTTCAAGTTTAAAGCCAGCCTCAGCAACTTAGTGAGGCCTTACGCAATTTAATGAGACCCTGTTTGAAAATATAAAATAAAATGAGGTGGGGGTGTGACTTAGTCATTGAGCTCCCCAGGGTTCAATCCCTGGAACTAAAAAACAACAACAACAATAACAACAACAAAAAACAAACAAAAAAGGAACTATTAACTAAATTTAAATTTAAAAAAGGGTATGACTTGTTAAATCATGTGTGTCACTCAGTATGCATATAATATAGAGCTGGTGAAGTTTGAAAATGGAATGTGTTTTTCTTCTGTTAGAATATAATTATACTACTTTTGTATTTGTTCATATTTAGATATAAATGATGATCATGTTGAAGATGTTTCAGGAATTCAGCATTTGACAAGTGATTCAGACAGTGAAGTTTACTGTGATTCTATGGAGCAATTTGGACAAGAAGAGGTAAAAATGACATTTTCTGATTGGTAAGTTTTCAAAGTGGTATAACAGAATTCAATGCATAACTTCTGTCAATAGCAGATGTACATGCTGTTCATCACTTTGAAAACATACCTCTAGAATGTTTAAGCATTTACATTTTTACTTTTTGTAAACTTTTATGTATAAGATTATAGAATATTCAAAGAAAATCCATTTTTTCTGTTTAAATATTTTATTATTATTTGTAACATATGTATATTTTATAAGTATTATGGCAGAGGTGGGATGGAGATCCAGAGGGTAAACTGTTTGTTTAATCATGTTTTAAACATTGATTAATAAAGAAAATTTAATAGTTTTCAATCAAATAAGCCTATTCTTTACATTAACTCTAATTCTGCTCTAAAATTTTTAGTGAAAATCATCTTTAAATTTTAGTTAAGATTCTGTATTAAAAGAGAAAATTTTGGGGAAAAAAAACCCCCACAAAGTCCATGTTTTGTTTTGTTCTTTTTGAAAACTATTTCTGATGATGTTGAGGATGCTTGCGACAACTGGAATTCCGTTTGGCAGTTTTACATCCGCTCCCCATTTCTCTTATACCCCTGTTGTGATAGTGTAGTATAGAAAACATTGAGCTTTTATCTCTAATATAACAATTTTTATGTCCCTCCCTTTTTTTCATTTCATTAGACAATTGAATCTACTCTTAGTTTTCTCAAATTTTTAAACACATGAATAAAGAATTTACTAACTATGGTTAAACATAAATGAGTAGTACAGACTGGAAAAATCAGGAGCCCAAACTGAGAATAAGCTTAATTATGAAATTTGAAAGTAAGTGGTAAGAACCTAGATTCCCTTTTATTTTCTCTTAAAATTTTTATTGTTTGGAGAATGTTGGTGAAAAGGGTCTGGATAGGGTGGAATCTCAGTAAATATCTGACTACTAAATTCTAGGTTTGCTCCTGTTTTCTCTATAAATCCATAGTAGACTGAGTTATTTCTTGGGGCTCTCTGATCTCTCTTGCTCTTACCTCACTGGCCTTTGTTAATACCACTCTTATGTCAGAATTTTACTCCCCATCCATCCTGACCTTCTTTAATATACTTTTTTCTTCTAATATACGTTAAGTCTCTTCCCCTTTTCATGTCCAGCACTAGCAACTGTGCATTCATTTGGCCTGGAAAGTTCCTTCTTTCCATGTAGTAGATTAACTCCTGTATATTCTTTTCACCCTACATAGGTGTTCCTTCCTAAAGGAACCCTCTTAGATAGGTACAGCTCCACCTCATTACCACCCTTACCAAGTCTGTTTTAATTATAGATTGTCATCCACAAATGTCTTAGGTGGAATCTTTTAAAATAATATTTATGTAATCTTTATTATCAGTTTTGAAATCCTTAAAATCCAGGTCTTTTTGAGTTTTTCTTTTAATACATTTATTTTATTTACTTATTTAAAA